GCACCCCCCCCCTCCCCTTCCCTCCTGTTTGCTCTGCACTCGCTCTTGGCAAGTTTATCACCAATGGCCGCATCTCAGGGAGGAAACCGCTGCTGCTTCGCTCCAAATATCTCCGTTATAGAATTCGCCTGCGGCATACAACATCCTGTGACCATCCACTTTCTGCAGCTCAATTTTCTATACCTTTTCTACGTTGTCCTCATTAGGGTTGCGGGCGATCTGGGGCCTATCCTAGCTGACTCGAGGCGACAGGGAGAGCACTCCCCTGAACTATGATTTTGTTGAAACAATCAGCAGTGTGATTTTACGGCTAACTCACAAAGCTCGACTCTCTTCTTAACACCACTTGGGATGATCAATCCGCTGAAGATGGCATCTGGCGGGCAAAAAAAAAAAAACAATTTATGCGCAGTGTGCAATCTTGTCCCATGATGTCATAGTTGGCAAAGGATTTAAGCGTGTTTGTTGTTAATCCCCCTGTGGCGACTTCTGTGGATGAGTGCCTCCGCCAATGGTGTGCATCAACTTCACTGGATTAGCGCGTCTTTTTCCCGCTCTCTCGTTCTGCGTGTGTTGTCCAGCTGTATGGTTTTTTTTTTGTTTGTTTTAAGACAAATTTCTTGGCGTGCTTTTGTCTTCAAAGTAATCCGAGCACAAACGCCAACCCTGCTAGGGTGGAGTAGCACCTCGCCCCAAAGTTGTGTGTTGTATGAAGTTCTAATATTTCATGGCGTTGAATTATTTAGTTGGGGGCCACATGATCGCATAGACGTAAGAATGAGCATCAGGGGCGACCTACAGCGGCAGCTCAGGTGTGGGTAGTGTTTCACCTCTTCGCTCCTCCCTTTTTTGAAAGGCATGGATGTAATTTGAGAGTTGAAACACAACACATGTCTATTTTGCGATCCTATAGCGGTCCATTTTGTTTTCCCTGATGCCTAATCCGAGCGAGCAGTCGCCTTTCAGCGGGTCTCCGTGCCAGCGGGGTACATATTGCTCCGAGGGCCAGAGAGACAGGGCCGTAAGTCGCTGTCATTACTGTGGGACCATTCCCGACCTGAGGAATTCATTGGCACAAGGCAGAGGCGAAGGTGGCAGTTGCTTTTTGCAACACTTGGATCGTAAGACCCAGGTTCCGTTCCTTGGATCGACGGCGTGTGATCCGGTCCACCAACCCGGGCAGCAGCAGTTCACGAGTAAGACCTCTCAGCCGGATCTCGGCGACAGCCTTTACCTCAAGCGAGCCATGTCGGGCCGGGGCGCCGCACCGCCTCACGGTTATTTTTTTCCGGCCACCCCAACCGGTCAGCCACCCGAAGACCCGGGCTTTCATAGGGAGAACCACCAACCACTCATGAGATCAGCCTTGCATTACGGGCATGGCGCGAGGGGGTTGAGGCCTCTATGGGATCAAGCGCAAGCCAGAGCCACACCTTCCGTGCAGGCCTCCGGTTCTCTACCTATCCCCATGCCCTCACCCCCGCCGCCTCCTCCCCCGCCGCCTCCTCCCCTTCCTGTCCAAGAGCTGAGCCGTTTGTACAGGGAAACTCTGGGATCTAAGATTATCTTGGACGCTCAGCGTATTGCCGGCAGCTCTCCTTCACCTGCAATCTACGGACCTCAGCCCCATCTTTCCAATTACACCGCCGAGCAGTCGTCTGTCTCCGCTCACCAACCAATAAACGATTTCAGCCGCTTGTCTCTGGAACCCCGTCAGTCGGCCGCCACCGATTCCGCGGTGGACCCGACTTCGCAGGGAATGGACGGCACTCTACCTCGCGCTTATGGAGCCGTAGCTTCCCAAAGACTTCCTTATGACCCCAACTATGATCCCAGCGTAGCCATGATGGCTTCCGCGGCAGCAATGTCCGCCGGATTGCCTCCTCACCACCCTGGCGCCGCGGACCCCAAGAAGATGGCGGACCCCGCCCTCTTGGCATTTTTGCGAGCTGAAGGTCTGGCTGAGAGTACGATCACTCTCCTGCTGCAACATGGCTTTGATTCCTTCTCCGTGCTGGGTATGATGGAGGACCACGACGTCCGTTCCGTCGCCCCGAACTTGGCGCAGGCCCGCGTTCTTTCCCGCATCGTGCAGAGTTCCAAGAACGGCGGAGCGGCACCGCGTACCCGATCCAACAGCTTCAGCCACCGCAACGACTATTACGTGCAGCCTCAAGGTTTGACCATGGATGCCGGCCTGATGCAGCAGCCTCCAACCGCTGTCCAAGCGGCGTCTCCCAGATTGGGAGAATTTCTCGGGAGGAGACCCAGCAGCGCTCCGTCCCAACACCTTTTGGAGACCACCGCTTACCCAGCACCGCGCCCCCTGGCGGCTGGAGCTTTACCAATCAGCCCCGCAGGATATAGCCATGCTGTCAGCCAAGGAAGACCCTTTTCCATGTACAATGCCCACACTGGCCTCGCCATGTCTGCTCTTGGCCAACAGCCCCCACCTGCCCCAGGAACTCCTGGAGCTGCGCCTAAAACCTACTCGGGCTCTTATTCCCCCATTGAGCTGATGAAAAGAGCCCCCAACCTTCCCCCGGCGTCACCGGTAGCTACTCCAAGCCCCCTTCACAGCCCGCAACTCCTCCGGAAAGGGATGAATGCCGCTCCTGAGAGTAACGTCGTTGCCTCGGCTTCCTCCGCTGCTCTCCAAGCGCATAACCCCAACGCCACCAAGTTGGTCGGACGCCGCACTGGTCCACCCGTCATTGTGTCAACCATGACCACAACACCTGACACAAGTACCGTCATCTCTCTTCTCTCACTCTTTTCTTTGTTGTCCATTGATAGACTTACAGAAGTTAGTCACGTCACGGCAAATGAGAAAGGGCTGACTCCGTCATCTATTTTATTTCGCGTAGTACATTTGTATCATGTTTCGCCAAGCTCCAAATGCGTCTCCTGAGAAATCTTTACATTTTCTCTTGGTAAGAATCAATTTGAGGCTTATTTGGTTGTTTTGCGGGGACTATACATAAACCAAAAGTAGGCACCCAGCTTTGTTTTTTTTCTGTTGGTAAATATCACCGTCGTTATTTTACACTCTACTCTCTCCTAATCAGGTGCTTAACTGCCGTGTTATCCAATTAGTCTAATAAGATAGACCGTTGTATCGGCTATTATAAGAATCGGTTTTTAGAGACACCTTGTCTGTTTTCGTCGCCATAAATATTTCTTCATTACTTTTGACTGTAATCATGGAACTTGAAGTCCCTGCTCTTTCTTCTTAAAGGTTATTATTAATTCTTTTGCTTTTCTTTACGCGAGGCAAAAAAAATAAATCCAAAGATTTTTCTGGTTAATGTAATCTTTTCCCTATGAATTTGCGTGAGCGATGACCATGAACAGAAATTGCATGCTTGGCTTGTGAAAGGCACGACCGAACGTTTTTAAATTACGTTCAACATCAGTGACTGTTATCTTATTTTAGGTCTGTCGTTTTTTTTAACCTTCTTTTCAGCCGCTAAGACTCTAATAGTTCTTTGGGCTGCCGAACAAGTTCATAAATGAATGACTTTGATGAAAAGGCTTTCGTACTGTTGATTGAATCAGGGAGCAGCGAATTGCTTCTTACCAAGGTTATATAATTATAATTTTTTTTTGTTTTGCTATCCTCGCAGCACAGCAAACTCATTTGCATGAAGCTGATATTTGTTGCTTCGGTAACTTCATCTGATAACGGCCGGGCCTCACACACAGACAATCAGAAAGCGTACTTCTTAATTGCGTGTTGCCAGGCAACCTCGGCTCTGGTGGCAATCAGAAGGTGGATAATCTTCACATTTCAGGAAAGTGGGGGAAAAGGGACAGTTCTGTGTGTCTCTCCCACTCAGAGCAAGAGAAAATTGACCGCAAATAACTGCTTCTTTGTCGCCGTTTGCTTCTCGAGGGATTTCTTATTTCACACGCAGGGGCTCTTGTCCACTGGTGAAGAGAGTCCTGCAACTCTTAACTGACAAGTGTGTTTCGGTGGGATTCATGTCCCAGACACGTGATTGATACACCTGAAACAATTTTCAACGTTGAAATAAAACAGAATAAGTCTTAGAAAGTGTCAGGTAGTGGGAGGGTTCTGCGTCAGGGCACCGTCTTGGTTGGCTAAGCGGCGTTAATAATGGCATTAAACGCTCGAGTCCAGCTTAGTCGCGACAGTTACCTTCTTCTCCGCCAAAGTAGCGGCTGCGCGCCTTGGCCATGGAGTTGTCCGTCAGCGGCGTCCCGCAGAGCAGCAGCGCAGGTGGGTAGCTTCCACGTCACGTGACGCCAGCGCGGCGTGTAATTGGCTTTCAGCGGAGGTGGCGAATCGCGTGTCGTCACGTGCTTTCCTGGAGGAGCTAATCCACTCAGGATCAGCCAGGCTTTTTTTAGCGGGAGTATTAGGGTGGGCGTGGTGTGTTCAGGGGGCGGATTTCAGCGCTCTGGAGTCATGAGGGAAATATCAAGCGACGGCTTTTGGACACGGCGCCCAGGTGTTATGCGCAACTTCCTGGGACATTTGTCAAAAATGGCAGATCCTTTTCGGGGAGGGAAATGCCTGGAAGTAGTTAAAGTTGCCTCTAACAGTTTAGTAACCTTGTGTAAAAGAACCGTTTGGCGTGTTAAGGGGGGGCTCAGAATAGAAATGTAATCTTTGTATATTTAATGAGAGCGGCACGATGACTGAGCGGGCCCGCATGTCTGCCTCAGAGTTCTGAGGTTCAAAGTTCCAGTCTGGGCTTGTGGGCTTCCTCCCGGATCCTAACAAAAATCAGAGTGTTCTCAGTCTCGTAGAAATGTCTGACTCTCAGCATGAGGCTTATTTAATGGTTGCTTTGCGTCGCCACAAAGTTAAAGGCTCTAAAATAAAGCTGACGTGCGTTCCCTCGAGGCACGTCCCCTTTTTTTCTTGATTGCCGTAGAAATATATCCTTCATAACAGGTTGTGCCATAGATTGACACACACGACATTAAAAAAAAAAAAAAAAAAGAATCTCACAGTGGTTCCCTCCCCCGGAGCAATTGCTCATGTTCACGGGGTGGGGGGGATTAATGACTGTGGTGATGGCGGCCAAGCCCGCCGAGCAAATGAGGAACAGCTTTTCTGGCCTCGCTTGTGACACTTTGCTGTGTGGTGGTGGCAGCTGACATCTGCGTTGTCCAGAAAGTGAAAAGATGTTCAGAAATGTCGCACGAAAAGAATGGAAGGCATAATATGGAGTGTTCTTATATAGTGGGGCAGGGGTCAAGTAGGCTTTTAGCCCTCGTTTTAGCCTCGGCCCAACAAAATCAGGAGAACTAAAATGGTGGAAAAAAACCAGTCGGACTAGATTCCCACAAGTACTACATAAATCTCACGCTCATTTTTCTCAGAAGCGTCGCGTATTTAGAAACGAATCTTGGAATTTGCCCTTGGCTGGAGCGCGCTGCTTCAGCGAATCCTTCACGTGACGTCGCAGCGCTTCACGATGATCCCCCTCCCCAATTACCTGCCGCCATCTCGTATTAGCGCCGTGCTTGTCAAATGGCAACAGCTGCCAAAACAGACAAGCGCACACCTCCTCCCTCCCGTTTTCTTTTTACTCAGAGTGTCTCAACCCTCTTCCTTTCTTCCTTTTTATTTTCCTCTCTCAGTTGTGGGCAGGTCACCCTGAATTATTCATCAGTCTGAAATGAAAAAGCTCATGGATATTGAATATCCTCTGTGAAGTGTTGGCCAACCTTGTGTGTTTTATTCACAACCACCCCCCCTCTCTTTCTCTCTGTGAAATCGAGGGAAAAAGTGTTAGAGAGAGCCATATCTCACCGCCAGGCTGTTTCAAAGATTTACCAATCACTTTGCCTGCTGCACATATTTACCTTGGTCTCTCCTGGACAGCGAGTGGGGAGGGAGGGGGAGGTGAGTGGAGAGAAAGATCAAAAAGCTGGAGATGAAAAGCGGGAGGAAAAAAAATACACCGCTGTCATCTTCTTGGGTAGAACAACGAGCCAGTAGCTGGTTAGCTTTGACGCACCGTATGCAGTACTTCCTGGTTGCAGTAGTCCTTGTCATGCCCCCCCCCCTTACTTTCCCACCTTGTCTTGCGGTTTGATCTGCAGCCCGCGTTGTAAATCGATGTCACACGTCGCCAACAAACCCAGCGGGGGCCTCGTCGAGCAGTTGTGTGTGAAACGGTCTCATCTCATGAAATCAACCTGACGATGACGTGAATGCGAGCACGCCGGCTGAGAAAAAGGCAAAATTAGGGTCTGCGTGCATGTGGTGTTTCTCTGAGTAGTATTTCCTTTTAGACTTTTGCATTAATCGCTCACCCTCCAACAACTGCCCTGGGGAGGGCCATTATTTTCCTTGGTTTTATCAGTATTTTAATTATTGTTATTTTGCGATCATCGCGCTTAGTTTTGAGATACGAGATCATGTGGCTAACACACATACTGGCGTCGGGTGTCCCAAGGAGGCATATAGAGAGACCCAAAATCTCGAAATCTCCTGCCGCATAATTTTTGGGGTGGCAAGAAGTGTGGCGAGACGGACACCTTGTCGGAGATTCAATTCAAAACTGGCTGGAGCACAGCTGGGCCGCACTTTGCCTCCCCGGCTTAATAGCCGTATGACAGCGCGGGAGGGCGGAGGTGACGGGACGCATTGCATGTGTGCGTTTTTATTTGCTGGTGTAATCAGGGGGGCGCACGCGGGGAGGGTGTGGAAGGTTCTGCCTGGCCAGATGGCTCCTGTCACTGCCGAGGAGGGACGAAAAAGGGGAGGCCGGGGGTCCTGAAATGGACCAGAGTAGCCCCCTTCCCCCGAGTCACCACATCTGGGGACCACCTGCAGCCGACGTGGTCGCAGCGGTGGCGGGGGTGGGAGTGTCCCCCACGTCTCCCGTTTCCTCAACTTACCCTGGGGAAAACTATTGCTTTCGTTTCTGTGCTTGGAGGGAGATTCTGAAGGCCTTTTCAGCTGATCCCGACCGACCAAGCACAGGCGCATTGGCCATTTGCTGAATCGGAAAAAGAAAATTGTAGCACAGACGGCTTCAAATGATGGTTTCTTTGAGGAAAATCTCTTTCATTGTAACCGTTTTTCCTCCTCCATCCCTCATTGGTCGGTGTGATGAGAAAACAAAAAGCCAAGAGGCCCCTGTTGACTCAGGCTTGTTATCTGGACCTCTGGGGTGGCGGCGGCGGCAGGTGCCTCACACTGGATAAGACCCGCTGGCCTCGTGTGTAAACAGCAGGGTCTAAATGAGAAACCGGGGCAGGACTTGCTGTGGGCTGCCAAAGAGCTGCTCGTCCTCTAGTGCTCATTTTCTTGAAATTTCTTGAATCCACCCACAGGGCACGATGACGAGATTGGGCAATTGGTCGGATCGTCGATGCCTCGTCGGGCCAAAAGGTGGCGCTTTCTGGCAGTGGATTTGTCTCGGAATTCCAACAAATGCGTCGGAGGCATCGCGGAGAGGCTTCTTGATGTCCGCAAACCTGCAGAGCATACGGGCGCGTTTGTTTCCGAGAAAGGGCGGGCGGCAGTCATTTACAGTAAAAGTGCGCTTGGGCCACATGTCCGAATTTCCCCATCTGGCCGCCATTAGTGATGTCTTTGGGGGGGGCGGTTTTCTCCCACCCGTGGTCCTTCGACACAGCGACCTGTCAATCATCTGCCGTCTTGTCTCCCCTGGGGACAAAATTGAGCTGCTGCTGCTCCAAAAAAAAAAAAAAAAAGACAAGTACATCGACTGAGGCGTTGTCATGCTCGGCACAAATGGGACTGAAAACTCTTGAATTTCACTTCCTTCAGCTAGTAGCTACTGTCCCCTCGCTTGATATGCCACTATTGCCGTCGAGCTGTTGGGGGGGGGGGCAGGAGTAGAGGAAACCAAATAATCTGGAGGTTGAGGGGGCGTGTGTATGAGAGGGGAGGGGTGTGAGCAGTCCAGATCAGAAATAAAACATAGTCCCAAAAAGCGGCGAGGAGAAGGAGGAAGAGGAGGGAAAAGGGAGAATGAAGGAGGGAGGGAGGGAGGAATGGTGCTGCCGGAGCACCAAAGTAGCGGCGAGCGATGAATAGCCGGTGCGCCGCCGCCACCGCTGCTGCCTGAGAAGGAAGCAGCCATTCCACCGCCTTTTTCCATCCCGGAGGCAGTTTTTCCAAGGTCCAAAATTGCATCTTTCCGGCAAATATGATGCATCCGCCATCTCAGTGATTTCCGCCCCCCCTCCCTCGGACCGTAAGGTTGGGGCGGGGTGGGGGGTCAGGTAGTGGGAGAGTGGGTAGGTCGTCCTTGGATTACCTTCTTCCACTTTTTGGGGGATTTTTTTTCCTTCCCTCAACCTTGTTTTTTTTCTCCCCCCCCCCACCCCCTGCCATGCGACGTTTATAAGAGTGAGGAAGAATGTGGCGGCAACATTTTCCAGGCAAGCGGCATGTTTCCTGTTTTCTTTGCTGGATGTCTAATAAAGTCTGGCATGTGGGACGGAACATGGGGGATAAGGTCAGTCGGGGGGGGGGAGGCTCGGTCACCGTGTTGTCATCCCTCCACACCAACACTTGGCTCTTACTTCCTGGGTAGTAACTTGGCATGGTAGAGGTGTGCGGAGTCTGTTGAAATTAGCGTTTGTTCTGCCCCCCCCCCCCCAAAAGAAATGAGGCGTGCGCTCAATTTCTTGGGCAGCGGTGTGGCGGCCAGCCGGGTGGGGCACAATGTGGGACAAGTGGCCTTTGTGCATGACT